AATTAAATATATATTACCCTGCCTACTAATTCTATCACATCAACAATAAAAAAATAAGATATCTAAACTCAACATAGAATTTAGTGTGTAGTGCTACCAACATAACACATTTAGTTCGAAGTCTTGAAAGACGAAACCTGTCACAAGTAAACTTTTTACATTTTGTCATATAATTTCCCCAATATATATATATATATATATATATATGTGTGTGTGTGTGTGTGTGTGTGTGTGTGCAATAAATCAAGTGACTTTCCTGGTTAACCGGCTCAAGATTTTAACGTTGTAGCGCTCCTCGGGGCTAGATGTTTGATTTATGGACCCGAAAATCTTGAATCGGCGAACCAGATAAGTCACTTGAAATTTTCTTGATTTATTGCATATGGTAGATCTTGTTATCTATTGTCTGCTTTTGTTTTTTTTTCTGTTCCGTGGCCCGAAAAAAACAAAAACAAACAAAAAAAAACACGTTACACTATCGTAATATGCACTTATTTTACAAATGCAATATTTTTTATTATTATGAACACTATGCAGACAATTCATAACTTTTAACATAGTAATTATATTTCATATGAATGATAAAAAACGAAACAGCGGGAACTGACACGTAAAGGCGGGAAGGATTAGTAAAATATGTAGAAAACGGTAAACCGAATACAGCGGAACGAAATACACTATAAGATAAATGTTAAAGGCTTTTCAAAATTCATAGCGTTTTTTTTTAAGCATTTCACCCCAAGCAAGGCGGGAAGCTACTAGGACGCAAGGGGTTACAGAAAGTTTAGAGCAAGATCATATAGGAGTGATAGAAGAAAGGATGAGGGTAGTGGATAGATCAAGGCAACTGGAGATGTCGATTGACATTACACTTGAATAGCTGGAGATTATAGCTCTCAGGGAAACTGGAATAGGGAAGGGAGTTCCACAGGCGAGAGGTACGAGACATGAAGCTATTAGAATAGAAGAGACGGCTACATTTAGGAGTTTCGAAAGTGAAGGGGTGAGAGCGGGATGCCAGCCTCGTAAGGCGCTGGAACTCATGACGTCTAGGAACCAGCGAATGCAGCTCCTCGGAGCAATTTCCATGAAAGTATTTGTAGAACAGACAGAGGGAGGCTACGGCGCGTCTGTGAGAAAGAGACTGTAGACGAGACGCCAGGGCAGGACCAACTACATTCCATATCCGCCTCTGAAGCCTATGAAGAACCCTGAGGCAAACAGAAGGGGCACCAGGCCATATATGGCAGCAATACTCCATGCAAGGGCGAATTGTTGATTTATAGATCTGGAGGATCGACTCCGGGGAGAAAAACTTCCTGGCGCGGCTCAGGGAGCCAACTTTCCCTGCGGTGGACGAGGCAATTGACTCAATGTATTTATTCCATATCTGGTGGGGGGTGGGGATCAACGGCCAATCCTCCGCCCTCACCAATTAGTGGGCTTGGGAGATATGCTTTCAATAAGATTTCGAACAGGAGAAAGAAACGACTAGAACAATTCCAAGTTCAGACAATATATCAAGCAAAAAGATACTCTCACAACATCATTAGAATACTGACGAGACACCTTCGCATCTAAGCCAAAGACATTTAATTTTCCATTTTTCCTGTTTTTTCATTTCGAACCGGTATTTCTTACTAAACTATAAAATAAGGGAGAATCATTGGGACAAAATGTCTTTGAGTAGGGGGGGGGAGAGAAAAAATAGATAAATTTAAAAACAAAAAAACAAAGAAAAATGTATTCAACGAAAACCAAGGAAGTGAACTGAAATATGTAAAAGCCAATCAAATAATTTCCATTAGTCATTAGCCGTATAGCGTTTTTCCTAGCGTAGCTTAGATATGGCACAAGGCCGAAAATATGGGGCACCCGGGGAGGATCTAACTCACTTCTCAGTCGTAAATGTTTGCTCTGTTTCATGAAAATAAACATTGAGCGCTATTTGTGAGTCAGTTTTAACATTTAATATTTTATATTTCAAATTCTATACAGTGTTTACATTATTCGGACTATTGTCCTCGTCTTTGTCGGCATATTTATCACAACGTTTCGGCCGTTGTACGCTCCGGCCTTCTTCAGTTGGCTGGAATTTCGAACTGAACCCTTTATTTCGCTCACTGGGGTAGACTGTTCTAGTTCCACGTGCCATGTTTGTTCTCCACAGTCTTAACCGGGTATTGAACTCTCATTCTTTGGGTCTTGTCACTGGGTCTAACTAACACCTTTATCCACTGTGCCATGTGTCCTTGAGGAAGCGAAACGTTGTAATAGATATGGCTATAAAGATGAGGACAATAATCTGAATAATGTAAATAGAGTACATAATGCCTCATCTCAGAAATATAGTCAGATACTGAAGGGCCGAAACGTTGTAATAAATATGGCGACAAAGATGAGGACAATAGTCCGAATAATGTAAATAGTGTACATAATACCTCATCTCAGAAATATAGACAGATGCTGAAAGGCTGAAACGTTGTAATAAATATGGCGACAAAGATGAGGACAGTAGTCCGAATAATGTAAATAGTGTACATAATACCCATCTCAAAAATATAGACAGATACTGAAGGGCTGAAACGTTGTAATAGATATGGGGACAAAGATGAGGACAATAATCTGAATAATGTAAATAATGTACATAATCTCAGAAATATGTAATGTAAATAATGTACATAATCTCAGAAATATAGACAGATACTAATAGAAATATTGGTAATCGAAATTGCTAAAAAAAATCACACTTAATATATATAATGACCGGCTACACTCGTTTTTCAAGCGCACGCGTCTACTAAGATGTCTAGCGGTTGCAAACACCTCGCTGACGCATTTGTGTTGTTCAACACTCACTGGATCCATCTGTGGTTTATTTCTCAACTAGAACTTAATTACAGTTTCTCAGCAGCTATTATTTCGATTTTTCCCGCGAGTATATCAATATATATATTCATATGTTACTATCAAATGTTTGAACAACGATAGTTTGCTAAAGCTCTCGGTCACGATGACTTGTTACTTTGTCTCAGCATAACCATCGAGATCCCTGTATTCAACTTCACTTTCAAGGTTTGAAACAACTCATAGTTTTATGTTGAGGCAATTTCTGAAAATGACGCAGGTTACAAATACCTCCCCACACAGGCATCATAAAGAAATCACCTTCCTAAATAATTGCCCATGGTAACATTTCATATATATATATATATATATATATATATATATATATATATATATATATGAATGTTATGATGAATTAATTAAATATATATATATATATATATATATATATATATATATATATATATATATATGGTTGGATAGATGTGAGTTTGTGACCCTATATATATATATATATTTATTAAAGACATTTTTATTTATGTTTAACGGTTATTTTATAGATTTCAAATGCTCTGTTTATAAACGATCGTCAGACAAACTGATTAATGTTTTAAAAATTTGTGTTTATGCTAGATTGCGTGTATTGGTGTTATTATATATATATATATGAAAAATATATATATATGTGGTGGGGAAACATTTACGTCGTTTTTGTCATTCAGGCCGGTAATGTTACTTTTCACACACACACACTACAAATAAATAACGTTAAACATATATATATATATATATATATATATATATATATATATATATATCATATCATACCACTGGGGCCAACAACGATAATGAATTATCTATAAATGACTATTTAAATACCCCCCCATTCAATCACTGTATATCCTTGGATGATCCAGATTCTAATCCCCTGAAGTGAGTGGCTTGACGAATGTTGTGGCTCTGCGGGCGCAATCCGTTGGGTTACGCATAATTGGATGCGTATCACCACGAAATTTAGTGAGTAGCGGCGCTATATCGAGTCTAATCGGTGTCTTCTTTGTCACTGAGGACCATTTGTCCAGTAGTATGACACTTGCGATGTATCGTAACGATCCGGGTTCGATTCTCGGTTGTGGACGCGAACTGCTGGGGTAATCCCAGTTGGGACGAAAAGGCCATCCAGTGCTTTCTGGATTGTGGATAATTCTAGACTCGATGAATTACTATAAAAGGATCATTTAACTCCACCACCCGAAATTTTTAACACTTACACACACACACACACACACACACATATATATATATATAGACACTCACATATATATAGACACACACACACACACACACATACATATATATATATATATATATATATATATATATATATATATATATATATATTGAAGTCATTCATCGAGTCTGAAAGAAACCTCAACAGAATGCAGAAAGCACTGCACGACCGTTTAGTCCTATATTTGGGACTCAACAGCAGTACGCATGCACTACTGAGAATTGAAACCCTGACAGTTAGGTAGTCTCTCTCTCTCTCTCTCTCTCTCTCTCTCTATATATATATATATATATATATATATATATATATATATATATATATATATATATATATATGAGGTCTGATCAAAAGTATTACTATGGTAACGATGCTAAAATTAGCATTTAAACTCATACACACTAAATTATAACTGTTTCGCTTTGTTTCGATCAGTTCTTGTAAGGTAGTTTCACCACATCACAGATCTTCCATCTTTGGCCATGCACACCATTCCTCAGGTCTTGCCTCTTGCGACTTTTCCTCTTCAAAAATCAAATTCCACTTGAAAGGAACAAAATTTCTAGACGTCTAGGAAATCCAAGAGCATGCGACGAAGCAGCTTTACGGTTTCATAAAATAGGAGTTCCAGAAATGCTTCCATGAATGACAAAAACGCTGGCTTCAGAAGAGCCCTACTTCGAGGGAGATTAAATGTTGACTTGATATGTATTGTAGTTTTATAACACTAGTCCTGATAGTTTTTGTTCAGTCCCCGTACTTATGATATATCTCTTTGTTATCCTTCCCTCTATTTGTGCGTGGGTGTATAAATGATTTACATATATGTTTATTTTTTTCTGACGTTTTCATTTATATTATACAGAGAATATTAAACCATATGCGTATAAATATCTTTTCTCTGTCCTATCTATCTGA